TCAGAATCCTCATAGGTTTATTTAAAGTAGATTCTACCTATATTTCTTTATTTACTTTGTATACATTATATGGATAAAAGTTTTCATGTTTTGTTTTCTTTTTTCTCTTTCTTCTCTTTCTCTCTTCTCTTCCCTCCCTCCCTGCCTCCTTTCTTCTCTTCTTATCTCTTTCTTCCTTCTTGACAAAGAAAATCCAGAAAATCCAATCCTTAAATTATCTGCTTGATAAAGGAGGCAAAACAAGACAACTGGAGACAATGTGATTGATGGACAAAAGCTAAAGCAATGGCTGGGGCTGTTTTTTTTGTTTTGTTTTGTTTTTTGTTTTTTAATGAATGGAAAAATGATATGTAATGGCAGCTGGTGTTGCTAGACGTCTATATTCAAAATTAGATTCCCTAGGAGGTATAATATATATTTCTCAAATAATAATGTGGTTTACTGAATTCCAATGTTATAGTGAAATGTAATGAAAAACAACTTTAGGTATGTGCTTTAACTACTGCTGCAGAAGAGACAAGTCTGCGTTTATTTGTGCAGGAAACCATTTATTTAATTGTTCTAGAGTTTTAGCATTTAAAAATTATACATCCAAATCAACTGAAATTGTCCTGGCTAGAGAATCACTTGGAGGGGGCCTTGGGAGTAAGAAAGACACTGCATTTTCTCATGAATCTCCAAGCCCAGTTGAAAAGTCACATTGAGAAGGATACAAACAACTGTCTGCAATTTTATCAGTCCGATTGTGGTGACAACTTGTTGTACCAGGATATTCCGAAATTGAAATTTGGCAGTGAAAATTCCACAGAGATTTCTGATAACTTTCAGCCACAGCTACCTTAAAAATAATAGATTGATGATTTCCTTTATTTCCTAGAAGAATTTATTTTATAAATACTTTGTTTACATTTTAGGTTGTATTTGTCCTTAATTAAAAATGATGAGTCTAGTTCGAATCAGCTGTTATTCCAAGCTATCATGCTTAAGCTATGTCAACAGCATTTATTTGTACTAATGCTAATATTTCCATCAAACCTGTGGAACATATAGTTATTAATTTTAAAATGTCAGTTCTCGAGATATACTGTATGAAGCTATTGTCAGCTTCTCTATTTCAAAATGCAATCAGCATATAACTATATTGATATTAGAAAATACTTGATTTTTAAAAATATATTGATGTATGATAAAGATGATCTAAGTTATGAATGCATATGCGTGTGTGGTTACTTTTTATAATGTGAAATAATGAATAATGAATTTACTGAAAAATAAAACATAGGTTAACGAGATACCTGTGTTTGTGAAAAAAGTTTTAAATACTTTCCTGCAGTTTGTATTCTATAATTAAAGAGTAACACAGTTCACTTTTAAGTAATGAATAGAAGCACACCCGAGGACAACTGTGAATGACTCAGGAGAGCCACTCAGCGTGAAGCTTCCACGCCATCTGTTTCCCTGCTGCCTGACGATTGGCCTCTTTGGGGCCATTTTTAATGATTCTTACTATCTTTCATTTAAGGACATTCAGGTAAATAGAATCGTTCAACTACCCATTTTGTCAGTAATTAACAATTGAGTAGCTATGATGAGAAGCTTGACATACTGGCTAATTTAGTACATTCTTTGGGGGTTTCACTGAACTACGTTAATGGTGTCTCCTGCTGGCCTCCCCAACATGGAACTGAACACACTGTGATCTGGGAGGGTGTTTGTGGTGCCTATGGGACCTCAGAGCGGCACCAGCTTTCCCAGCATTTTGATTCATAAGCAGCATCAACTGTTATTTTAAATAAAAGGGAGAATTTCAGTTTATGTGTTCAATAGTAAATTTTGCAGAGTTAGGAACTTTTATTTTCCATTATGCATGTGGGAGAAGAGGAAAGAGATTTGACAGAAAAGTTGCTACTGCTTATAAAATTCAAGAATCTACAGAAGTCAGCTGCAGTCTTAGTCCAAGGCACTAAAATTTCAATTAAGACAGGAAATCAAAATTACATTTGGAACATTTCTTTTTCTTTTTTGGCAGAACATAATTTCTAAAATCATTGAACTATTTGTTAAAATTATACTTCCAAAGACAGATATATAAAAACAGTAAAAAACAAATTGGTGGCAGTTATGAATATCCACACACATCTCGATTTACACTGGAGACAGGATTGATACTCTTGTAAAAGCCCTCAGTTTAACACCTCACCACATAGTTGCTTGAAACTAGTCGGATGACAAGAAAGATCTCTTCCATCTGTAGCTGCGGGGAAATGGCGACATGGCCTTCATCTGTTTGTTATTTATGGAAAGTTGCATTTTTAAGGATAGGTCCTAGAATTTCACAGGTTGGCATTACAAGCAAAAAGCAGACCTGCAGGACTCAATTTTATTGGTAGAAATGGAGATAGGGCTGAAAAGGATTTTACTTCACAGAGGTAAAATAAGGAGCATATGGAATTTTTCTTTCATAACTTCATACACATTTAGAAATCATTTCCATTATTTAACTTCCTGAGCTCAGCCTTGCTCTGCAGGATGGCTCCATTTTGACTTGCAGTTAATTGGCTATTTGAACTGAAATGAACAGGCTCTTAATCTTGAGTGAAGAGAAAGGAATTAGGTTAATTCAGTAATCTGTTTTCAGTTGTAGCGTGTGAGAGAGAGAGTGTGTCAATGTGGGTGTCTGTCTGTCTGTCTGTCTGTGCAGGAACAGTGTTTAAAACCTGACACTTGAATGTACTGAAGCCTGTTACAGTGTTCACATTTCCCCCTCAGTTGAAACCTTGAAATTTTTGTATGATTAATTACACTTTTCATTGTTCTGCATTCTTCACCATGCATACATACTTAGAAAATCTGAAACCTAGTGTCTTAGGAGCTTCTTCAAGCATATGCTGGGGAATTTTAAGAAGCTTGTTTTAAAATAAAGAATAGGGCCATTTTCTGCCTTAAAGAGCAACGTGTTAGATATAATAATTGTGCTGTCATTGTTTTGCAGTGGGGAGATGAGGGCAGAGTTTGATCTGCATGTTGTATGAACCCTTCAATGATAATGAACCTTTTCCTAACTGGGTTTGGCCTATGTATTTCAGAGGGTACGATGTTCTCATAGACTTTTCTCGCAGTTTCATCTCTTAAAAGTGGGTAGTTTGACTGACCCCCTTTTTACTTCTCTTTCTACTATTTTCCCACAAATAAACCTGGTTAACTGAATACTAACAAGTCACTGAAGATTGCCAGTTGGAGTTAGTCCTCTATTTTTGTCTCTCTTTCTAGGCCCTAGAATCGCCTCTGCCTTACCACGCATGGGTCAGCTAGTGCTCGAAGGAGTACAGGACTGAATTCATGTCCAGATTTTACAAGAGGAAAAGTCAACATTTATATTTAATATTATTGCCTGTTTACATTAAGTATGATACACATTACTCTGATTTATATTGATAGTTAAGATGACTAATCAACAAATTAATTTTAGGTATAAAATTGGACAGCAAAGAGATAGAAATCCAATTAGGCATTTAGTCACTACAGTTGACACTTCCGGATTAGTTAGCTCTATTCATGAGCCTCAGAATTTACTCCTAAAATATTCTATTGTCTCTATAACAGAAAATGACTGCTTAAGAAAGTTTTGGGGATATTTGCTGTTTTCCTTTTAACCTGGGTGCCAAGTCCGTGCTTACCTTCTGTTTGACCCCAGTGGGTAACTGAGAGGTGAGCTCATGCCACCTGATTGGTTGGATTCCAGCAGATGTTTTAGAGAGAAAGACAGAAGAGCGAATGGGCCAGGAGTCAGGAGACTGCCATTGCCACACCGGGTGACCGGGGGCAAGTGTTCTGCTTTCTGCGAGATGTGCAGTATGATTGCTCATTAGGTGCTGCAGGCACAGTGCCCAAGGCCCATGAGACGTGTAGGGGCCCATGAAGATGTTTTACTTCTTGTAATAAGCAAGTTATACACTTTGATTACATTGGTATAAAGACAAAGACAATCCAGAATATATTCATCATTATACCAATGCAGTCATAAAATATATATATATTTTTAAATATTTTTATTGGAGAATTGGGGGGAATGAGAACAGCGCTGGGGAATTGGGGGAAGGGGATCAGACAAGTTGCTGTTGTTTTGTTCTTCAGTCTAGTTGTGGAGGACGTTGTTTCACTGGCCCAAGTTGGCACCATGATTGCACTCTTCCTGGGCGAGGCAGATCAGTCGCCGGCTTCTGGAGGGCCGCTCACTGCGGCTGCTGGCCGCTCACGCTGGCTGCTGGCTACACACGGATAGCCCATGGCAACCCACTGCAGCAGGGGCTGCAGTCTACGCCGTCGCTGGTGACTCACAGCAGCCCAGCTCCAGGTTGATCTATTGTTCAGCATCTTAGCTGTAGAGGGCAGTGTCACTGGCCCTCATATGTGGGATCCGAACCAGGGTCCTCTGGCGTCCCAAGCCAGTTCTTAACCATCGCGCCACTCGGCTGGCCCAAAAATATAATTTTTAATATACATATCTGTACTTTTTTCATGAAGGAAGGAGCTCATGAAAGCAAAAGTGCCTGGGGCCCATGAAAGTCCAAATGTGACCCTGTCTCTGGTCCCCCCTTCTGTCCTTTGTAAGATGAAGGTATGGATCTAGGTGGCCTGTCGCTCAGTTAATGCCTCTGCCAAGTGATCGGATGACCACGGGGTGGACGGGGCCGCGCTGAGGCAGACGCTGTGAGCAGGGCTGACGACAGCCATTTTCTTCTAATTTTAGTCAGCAAGAAATGAGTCTATAAGAGATGAATAGAAAACACCTATTTTGCCCCAGAGGGAAGGAAAGAGAGTGAAGCACATGACTCATGGAGAATGTGTGTATGTCTTTCTCCCAAAGGCTTCACCTGGAAATAATGTTCAAGTTACCGTTTTTGAAAAGTCCAGATACATGAGTAACAGAAAGGTAAAGAGGTTCTACCAACAAAAGCCCTGCAAAACAGGCTCAAAATACCAGACAGACTATCCAAACATCTCCTTAAAGTAAGTTTGAATTTAATACTCCAATTTATCTAAAAATGGCTCAAACCAACAGAGGATGGGGGTCACCCCCTTCTGCCACCCAGAGCCAATGTCCTGTGTGGGTTCCCATACCTCAGATGGCGCATCTGCTATGCACCGAGTACTCATGTGTGTCGGAAATCACAGGACAGCTGGATTCACCACCCTGCCCAGAAATAGAAGCATTGTAGAGGTTTCTTCATAGATCATGAAATGAAATGGCCGGTCCACTTTGATGATGGGAGGCATGGAATAAGCAATAATTTCTGACAGGGTCCCCGCCGCTGCCGCAGTTCCTTTTTCATTGACCTCAATCGCTGCTCCTTGTAAAACCTAGAAAAGGCAATAATGTGGAGGACCATTTGGGCGGCAGCAAGCTCTTGATGTGTTTTCTGTGGTCCTCCCCACGGGACCGTGCTCCTGGGAATTGGTGGGACGGGGCTCCTGTGTGCTGAGACGAATGGTCTGACGCTGCAGCAGGGACTGCCTTAGAAGTCCAAAACATACCAGGAGACCCCAGGAACCCAAGCGGAACACATCCTGGGTGTGGGCAAGGGACTGGCTGATGCACGCACGTGTGCATCAGGTCCGCAGACACGTACTGAGCATGTGCTTAGTGCTGCTGATTCTGGAGCTGAGCTGGTGCTCCTCCAGCAGGTTCTCAGGCTGCCTGGAACCCCGGAATACTTGAGCCTTCTGGCAGCATGGTGGGGTCAGGGGCATGGCTAGCTGCTTCCCAGCTCCTGGTACTGCTCTGAGGAGTCCCTGGGCCAAGGCCTGGGGTCCCCGAGGTCTTCCTGAATTCTGCTTGCCTGTTCTCAGGCCACCTGTCCTGTGTGAGGGCCCTTTTGTCCAGGTGATGTGAGTGATATATAATTATTATAAGAGGGGAGAATGGAAACATCAGTGTAAAACACCTGGAGATTCCCCAATGTTCTGGAGTGAAGATTTACTTCCCAGAGTACACAGAGGGAGAAGAGCTAATGGCTTGCAATTTCAATTATAAAACAGCAGTACAAACTCTTTCAGGCGCTGGTCTGCGGGATTGTCCTGTTTATCTGACTCACCTTCCCTGAGATGGTAAAGCCTGATTGAAGCCAAGGTTGCCCTACTGTGTCCTATTTAAGTGGACACCCTTTTACATTTTTCTTAGAGTTAGAAAATGTAATTGTCTGGGAAAATACTAACCAAACCCCACAGCTAAGAAGGAAGTGTAGTAATATAAACTGCCGTTTGGAAACGTCAGAACGTTTTCTTGGTTGAGCTAATGACTGGGGGTTACTGCTGGCGTTGGTGAACACAGGCCAGGAATGTTACCAGTTCCCTGCAATGCGCTGAGCTGCCCTGAACCGCAGATGACAGCTTCCCCTCAAAACCAATAGCACTTCCACTGAGAAAACGGATTAGCTGGAGGTATTCCTTGTGGAAGCTGACAAATCTTGCTCTTAGTAGCTTTCCAGGCAGAACAAGGGCCAATGAGTATGAGTTCGGGAGGAGTTACAGGTCAAAAAATATATACATATGAAAAAAACACACCAAATATGATCTTAGCCATTTGTGGATTGGGCTGCTTTTCAAAGAAGTGGTGAGTTCCCTGTCACTGGAAGCATTAAAAGAAAGAAACTGGAGGGTTATTTTATAGGGATGTTATAGAGAGGATTCCCTCTACAAGGGGCTGGAATTGGGCCAGATAACTTCTGTCTTGAAAGTGGTGTCATTTCATGAAATTTTAAGTGAATCTGCGAACCAATTTCTTTTTAGGGAAAAATTTCTCCTGGAGTGTTTGGGAGTGAAGGGGGAGAGCTTTGCATAAGAGAAATTAAATTAGTCGAACAAATGCTCTAATAAGGCAGCTAAAACACCCAACTTGAGTGCTATTTCAAGTCTTTGGAATTTGAATCTAACTTTCTACCACACCTTGTTATGTTATCAACGATAAAATGGTTTGCGAAAATCTCTGTTGGTTTTAGTCCCATTTTATACTTAGGGCTTGGGTCCTAATGAGAGACTCTGACTTACCTTAGATACTTTAAGATTTCTCGCCGTAGCCGAGAGTTCGCCCAGGTCAGCCCAGCGGGAGAAGATCCTTGTGATTCTCATCTGCTTCAGCAGCTTGTGCATCTCATATTTCTGATCTAACTTGAACTTGGGAAAGAAAACTTCCATATTTCTGTGGTACAAGCACATAGAATGGTGACATGTAGACAAAAGTCTAAAAAAGTCACACTTCCTTTTATTTCCCTTCCTCCAAGTTTATTTCCATTAATGAATGAGTCTCAGTGGACTGTATGTACGGCTCATTCCATTCTTTTTAATGGTCTCGCTCAGAGAAAATAGTTCTGGCTTATCAAATATATCTATAACTTCAGCTTCACGGAACCAGTTTTGTTTCCCAGCCAATGACTCACGTCCTCTTTAGCAAAGAAAACCATGTTTTGTATCTAGTCCCCTATGGTTTAAAAACAACCCAAACCAAATAGCTGCTTCCAGCAACCCTGCGGATTCCATGATGATGTTTTTATTTAGTCTAGATTCTGCAGACGCCCAGAGTTCCAGGAGACACTTAGGAGCCTGGGGGTGGACAGCAGGAGGGGAGTGAAGGAAACTCTCAACCCCTATGTACCTGTAGCCAGAGAAACTTGGATATTATCTATTCTATAGACATTAGAGATCTTATTTGAAAACACTGTGTTCAGAAAGATGAGTTCTGTGGCTCAAAAATAAAAAGCATGAAAACTAATTGACACTAAATTAGCCTGAGGGCCGGCCGAGTGGCTCAGTTGGTTAAGGGCTCGCTCAAGAGTTTGAGCTCTGAGCAACGGCGGTTCGAGTCCCGGCCCGAGCTGAGCTGCCGCTAAGCTGCCAATAGGTAGCAGGATGGCTCAACTTAAAAAAAAAAAAAAGTACCGTAAATTAGCCTGAAAGAAGTCTCAGTTTCTTCATCTGTGAAATGTAGCCAAAAATACTAGTTTCACAGGGTCATTCAGAGGATGACATGAAATAATATCTGTTAAGTACCCCAATGTCTGGTGTGTAGGAGCTTAATATTATTTCCTTTTGCTCACTTCAGCCCCCTTCATTGCCCCTCTCTCACCCACATCCAGTCCATCAGCAAATCCCGTCTCCTCTAGCTGCCTAATAGATCCAGGATCTACTCCTGTCCATCACTCTGCTGCCACCCCCATAGCCCATGGGGCAGCGTCCTGACCTGGACGCTTGCTGCGACCTCCTGACCCGTCTTTGTGCTTCCTCCTCGGCCCCCTAGCGTCTTTCCTCAGCACAGGGGCTGTGTGGCTCTTTCACACCCAATTCAGACCATGTTGCCCCTCTGCTCGGGGCCCCCAGTTGCTTCCCGTCTCCCTCGGGAAGAACCCAAGCCTTTTCGGGGGCGTGTAAGGTATGGTTCTGGGTGGCTGGGCCCCTGGCTCTTCTCTGGCCTCATCTCCTCACTGGTGGCCTTGCTGTTCCTTGGGCCCACCAAGCGACCTCCCATCCCAGAACTGTCTCACTTCTGCTCGTAACACTTCTCTCCCCAGATAGCCACCGGGTCATGGTTCACTTCTGGGGTTTGCTCACTGCCTGGCGCCTGCCTGCACCCAGCTGGCGCCCCCATCCCCTTCCTTGAACCACGACTTGTCTCCCTTCACTAGAGTGTACGCTCCTTGAGGGCGCCATCATGCATGTGTCACAGTGCCGGGCCCAGGAGAGCCGCAGTAAGTGCTGGCTGAGTGAGTGAACGAGCCAGGCACTGTGAGAGATGCCAGGCGAGAGCGACCAGGACAGACACAGCCCCTGCCCTCAGGGAGCCCGCAGGGGGAGCCCGGCACTGAACCACGCCATTGGGGTGCGTGCTCGCAGAGATAGGAGGCTGAGCTCGCATGGGGCGAGGGGACGTGCTGTACCTGGTTTTCATGTTTCTCAGCCACGTGTTCACCAGGTCTGTGCTCAGGTAGTCTTCAAGGGCGAAGTGGTCACCCATTTTCTCCATGAGGACCACCAGCATGGTGGCGTTTCCTTGGTAGGGCAGTTTGAGGACATGGCAACGCAAGTTCTTATCAAAAGTGGAGGCAAAGTTGCCGGCCCTGTACATCATGGGCACCTTGACTGTCTTGTACTTGTCCAGGTGGAAAGTGTTCACCTCGGTGAAGGCAGGGTCGAAAGGGGTCAGCCAGTTCCCTGAACAGGCAAGAAAACTCATTGTGGAAACCACCCTCTGAGAGAGCATCATTCTTACTGAAATTCTAGGGGGCCAGGGTTCTGTCCCCCTTCCTGCCCCAACCAGGACAGGCAGCCCCTTTGGGGTTTGTTTTGACCACAGCTCAGGCAGGCAAAATAAATTCCCCAAAGACCGGCCTCTTCCCCAGCTGACAAAATACAGATCCACCTGCAGCCCCTCCTGGAATCACACGCATGAGCAAGGAAGTGTCCCCTGACAACCTGCCCCCTTGTGGCTCGCTCCAGCCCAGATAAGACTTGGGGCCTCTCCCTGTCCTCGTCTTCATGAGGGACCCTCCGACCGCCCTTTGTCAACTGTGCACCCACATGCAAGCAGAGTCCGCTGTAGCAGAGGTGATGACACCCCCTGCCCATTGCTGCTTAGGCAGGTTCTGAGAGAAGGGGTCCCCCTTGCTGACAAATCGCTGCACAATCCAGGGGAGGCCACCAGCATGTGGCAGCATGACCCTACACACAGACCTCTGTCCTGGGGGTGTGGCCTGGACAACTGGAAGCACGTCCCCCTCCTGGACTTTGCAAGCCGAGTGTCAGCTTTCTGCCACAGCGGCAGCCACACAAGTTCACTGCCCCGTCAGAGGGGCGGGACGGAAAGGACCTGGCCTGAGTGCCAGGGCCCCTTTGCGGAGCTTGGCGTCTGTCACCTATCATGTGACCTTCAAGCTGACCTCACTGAGCCTCACTTGCATCTGTGCAGTAGGAGGGAGTGTCCCCATTTTCTTTCTATATTAAGCATCCAAGGACAAGAGACTATTTGTCACTTGCCCCAGGTCACAAAAGTAGAGTGAAGGAGCAAAGATGTAACCCGAAACCTCTCCGGTCAATTGCCTTCTTTTTTCAATGACCCAGAAGTTCCCTGGGTCAGAATGTCAGAGGACTGGACAGCCGTGGAGAAAACTGTAGGGACTCCGAGCACGTGGGCCACCAGGGCAGGGACATCAAGTGAATACGCCCAGCACTGTGCCTGCTAACACCATACAGCCAGGGCCTGTTTCAATCTGTGAACCCTGAAAACCCATTCATGGGGCATTAACCAGATGCTGGCCAAACTGAGGAAAGGGAGAGACCGACGTAGGGGCTTTAGGAGAGCTAAACATGATCAAAAATACCTTTGAACAAGATGTAATCCACAAGAATTAATTTGGTGTCAGGATTAACCTCATCAAAGAGCTTGGGGATTTTCCCCTGCGTCTTTTTGTTAATGTAATGATTCATGAGCCCTTTGGCCTGTGAGGCATTGCGAAAATTCATAGTCACGCACTCTGTATCGAAATACCTCTTGGATAAATTGAGGAAGGTCTCTTTGACATCAAAATCCTCGTGGATGAAGGCCCAGCTCCCCTGGGTGAGGCCCAGCTGGCGGTTGCGGGAGAGGTGCGTTCTAAGCTGCCGAAAGAGGGCTGGCAGGTGCCCAGGCCTGGTCTGGTTCTGGGCCTGCGGGCGGAGCCCGCCCTCCAGCTGGGCTTTCGTCTGCCCTCGGGCTCCCAGCATCAGGGCTGTGATGGCCAAGGACAGGCCCAGCGGGGAGAAGACCACGTTGCCTTCGTGTCTCATGGAGATCTTTCGCAGCAGGCTGAACCCCAAGTTGGAGGTCTCCTCAGAGAGCTGCTGCTCGCTGGCCGCCAGCCAGAGCTCATCCTCCTCAGGAGTCTGTGCTTCCTTGCTGGTCTCATTCTGGGCAGTGGGGGTCTGTGGGGTCCCCGGCTCTGCCTGGGCCTCTGGTGACCGGGGACCAGGGGTCAAGCCGGGCGCCAGCCACACCTCGGCCAGGACGCAGGGGAGCAGGAGGCTCAGTGCCGCCTTCATTTGAGCGGCTGTGGAGGCCAAAGGAGTACTTTTCTTCAGCAGCAAGACTTCCTCTGGAGAAAAGAGGGCAGAGGTTATTTTTAATGCCTGATACAGTAACTCCTGCCTGTGTCATGGCACAACCCTTCAGTGAACCCGCTTCCCTCTTGTGGGGGGGCTGGGGCTTGCCCCATTGCAGCTGAGTCTCCTCAGGGAGACCTGGAGCAAGTTGAGGTGGCGAGATTCTTTCGCACAGCAAACCCGCCTCTGGGTCCCATCCCTGCCAGCCCTTGGGCAGCTCCTGGCCTGCCGCTCATTCCACTGCCTCCCGGAAGGGGTGGGGACTAAACCCGACAGGCTGTGGCCGCAGCCCTGACTGGGTGTGGGCCAGAGCAGGGCCCCGGGTCAGGCGGTCTTAACACACCTTTTATCCATCTGCTTCGTTCATTGGCCTTGATTGCTGGGCCCTACGGCAGCCCATCAAGCTGGGTTTCGGGGAACCTGTATCTGGGGCATGTTGGGCTGGGCATTTAGAGGGTCTGGGTGGTGATGGGGGCCAGGAAAAGGGAAAGTGCTGCGTTGGCCCATTGGGTGGTCAGAAGTCTCCCCCTGCCTCTCTGCTCTCTAACTCCACCCAGCCCCGGGGCCCAGTCACTCAGCTCCCCAGGCCTGCCTTCCTTCTCTACCCTGGAGCTCCCCAGGGTAGAAGTGATGACTAGCCCGCTTGCCCAGCATGAGGCCTGGGCTAAACTCATCTGATCCTCACAGTGACCTGTGAAGTGTGTTCTCGCTCTCACCGCCCCAGGTTACACGGTGGGGCCAGCCTTCCAGCACCAGCAGTGGGTCTCCAAACCCCGCCCTCCTCACCACTACCCATCTCCCCAGGCTCCCTGGCATCCTCGGTCACAGAGCCTGGAAAACGTGACCACCTGCAGGGGTTCTGCCTGAATAAACACTGAGGGCTTGCTGGGCCTCTCTCTGTCTCCACACTCAGCTCGCGGTGTTCAGTTGACAGCACCAGGCCTGCGACCCAGAGGCTGACTGGTCACCAAGACACACCCTCACTCTCTCTGGGCTCATGGCCCCAGGAGGGCCTGGGTGCGGCGGGACCACTCAGCCCATGAGCATAGGGCAGGGGAGGCTGCAGACCTCATGGGAGTTCCCATCAGCAGAGACCCTCATTCTGAACCAGGCCACCTGTAGCAAAACGCAGTGACAGGATGAAGTCCCCAGGTCTCCTCTCCCTAATGCAGGGGGTTGTGTCCTCATCTGTGCCTGGTACAAAGTGACACTCGGCCCCAGGACTCAGTACACTGCTCCTGCTTATGCTAAATGGGGCCATAGAATTCAGGGCTTCACCCCCCCCCCCCCCGGCAGCCTGAGGTCATCACTGCCTTACTCAGTGAAACCCTTCTGCTGTGTTTCCTAAATGTCAATGTTCAGTGAATACTGTCCAATTTTAAATGGCCCGCCGCATTCAGTAGCTCACTCCAGTATGGAAAATTCTGGGTAAGTGCCTCCTGCATTGCTCCAACGTACCCATACCCCAGGCTCATGCTTCATTATACAGGCAGACCTCGTTTTTTTTTTTTTCTTTTTTTACCATGTTTCACTGATACTGCGTTTTCATCAACATGGAGGCCAGCCCCTCCACCAGCAAAAAGATTAGGACTTGCTGAAGGCTCAGATGACGGTTAGCATTTTTTAGCAATCTTTTTCAAGTATGTCATGTACATTATTGTTTTTTAGACGTAATACTAGTGCACACTTAGTAGGCTATAGCATACTGTTCACAGAACTTTTATATATGTACTGGGAAACCATGCATGTGACTCTCTGTTACCATATTCACTTTATTGCGGTCTTCTGGAACTTCAGTGCCCACAGCATCTCCGAGGTCTGCCTGTATACAATATTTAGCCCTCTTTATAAATTAATAAACTAATCCCACGGCAGGCTACTCCTGAATTCAGCTCACTTCTCTCTGTGACAGCTGTCAGGAAACAATTCCAGCACAGCAAACAGAGGCCACTTTTTCCGGCTGCTAAGTCTTACCACGTAGCTCCCTCAGTCCGGAGTGGCAGCCCAGGAATACGTGGACAGTCCCATATACCCCCAGGGACATTCATCAACTGACCGGTACATAACCGGAGTGCAGGGGCAGCCCTCAAGCACTAGGGTCCCATCAAGCACGCCATGGGTACATCACCCTAAACAGAACTCAAGTGGTAGGAAATCCACTGCTCACTCCGCAGCCCTGAATATACCTGGGGCAGCAGCCCCACCCAGCCCAGGAAGTGGGGGGCTTGCTCACCTGAGTAGGAGGGTCGCTGGAAGGAAAGTCAGGGACTTGAGTGTGGCTTGCACAGTGAGTGTTGCGGGCATGAAACGCCTTCAAAGCCTCTTCGTCTTCGTCTTGCCTCCTCCCTGCAGCGAAAGGCCCCCCCATGTCCACAACATGTCTCGTGCCCCTCCCCCACCCTCCCCAGTGTAAGTGAGTGAGGGCTCGGTGCTGCCCAGGCTCCCGCCCTCTCACCTTGGAACCCCTCCAGAGAGGACGAGGATGTCTGTCCCCAGCCGTTGCTGTTAGACGTTGTGAAGGCCTCTCTTTAATCTGCGGCTTCTAACCAGTGACTGGCCCCCAGGTGCCTGGGAAGGTGCTTCATTCAAGGCAAAACAGAAGGCGAGGGTTTACAGCCAAAAGCCTGCCACAAATATTTGCTATTCCAAAGTATGGTCCTGTGGGACCGTTACTGATTAACGTCCTGCTGGGAGATGGTGGCATTTCTGGAAAAGCAAAGGCAGACCGGCTTCCCGTATTCTCCAGCTGCTCTTCCAATCCTAAATGTAACGGAGACTCCTCGATGGGAACTTCTGCTTCTCAACTCCAGCCCCTGGCGAAATGGAGGTGCTTCAGGTGCTGAGCATCTCCTGTGAAGGAAGGTGGGTCCCACCAGGCCTCCTGAGTCTGCACCCAAGGGCTGGCATCGTGTGGGGGGTGGGGCAGAGATGACAAGACCTGTCCTCCCCTGCCCCCCTCAAGGAACTTTCAGTCCAGTGGGAGAGAGAGATGACAGGTAAATCACTACTAGCAATACAAAGTCATTTCAAGGTCAACTCACTACTTTATCAGATACTTTACCAGACTCATGAGACTGGAATCCTCAAGTAGTCGAAGTCAAGGCTGCTGCAGACCCTTTAAGACAAAAATCTCAGTCCTATTAGACTCTCCTTTTTATAATACAAATATTGTATGTGCCCCTCACTGCCCTGAAGTGAAATGTATAGTTAATATAACGTACCCACAAAAAATTTTTAAAAGGAAAATACCGCTTTAACGATAATATGGAGGGGAAATAAAAGTAACTTATAAGGAAATAATGTTTCTTTGACTCTCTAGATGCTCTGGCTTAACTACACTAGAAGTCTGTACTGATGCCGTCAGACGCGGGGCCAGTTGGGGGGCCTCAGCGCTGCACAGGCTATAACCAGATTACTACCAGGCGTGTGGTTTTCTGTAATGGCGAATCGTGTTTGGGAAAGTTAAAAAAACAAAAAACAAAAAAACTGAAACAATGCAAACATGAATCTTCCTCTGACTTACATGGTCGTTGTCTTCACAGGAAAGTCAGTGGGAATTAAAACCTTGGGGGGAAATGGTGTTTTTATATGAAATAAAACACCCGTGGGACTGTGAAGGTCTAGGCTTGGATAACTTATAAATGGGGTTTTCACCCGTATGGGCTTGGTGTGGGATATTTGAGTCATGTGGGACCTGGGCCACTTCATTGTGGTGGGCAGGCTGTACATTCCAGTATGTCTGGCATCTCCGGCCCTCTTCATTGAATGCCAGAAGCGCCCCCCAAAGGTTTGTGAAAATCAGAAGTGCCCCAACGAGTTTCCAGAATGTTCCTTTGGGGCAGTGCCTGCTCTGTGGAGAAGCTCTACCTTAAGAGGTCCCAGTACAAACAGCAAGGAGGGGCCTGGGCTTCGCTAGGACAGCACCGGAGCCCCCTTGGCCTGCCATCCCTGTGTCCTGCAGCTGAGGGGCAGCACCTCAGATGGGGGAGGTGGGGCTGCTTCCTGCAGGTTGGGGGCGCAGAGCCTTTGCCAAATGTCTGCGAGGACACAGGTGTGTGAATGCTGTGAGGCACGGCAGTGGTCACGGGGCTTCAGAAGTGACATAAACGTCATCGAGGTGCATTTGACCATCTGGAAGACTTAAACCTGCTGCCATTCAGAAATGGATCTTTATAAGGAAGGCAGCAGAATGTACTGGAAAGAGTGTGTACATCAGACGCCTCTGGGCTCGAATCCCAAGTCCTCCAAATTCCGAGCCGCCGGACCTTGGGCGTGTAACCCAGCCTCTCTGAGCTTGCATCCCCCTCTGTAAAATAGCCAGAGCCCATGCAAATCTCAGCAGCGCCCAGGAAGCAGGAAGGAGATGGAGAGCGTCGTTCCGAAGGCCGTGGGCCCTGGGCTCAGGAAGTGTGGCTCAGAAGGTCTCTCCCTTCAGCGCGGACACCAGTTCCGCCCTGCTCCCTGCACCTCACACTCAGTGCCGACCACTGTAGCTTGAGCTCTTTCGCCAGCTGGGTGACCAGAACAGCTCCTTACCCTCCCTTTGCCTCTGTTTCCTGATCTGGAGAATGGGGCTGCCAAGCCTGCGTGGTTAGGACTGTTGTGCGGATGAAATGAGGTTGTGCCTGTAAAGAGCTTGGTACCTGGCAGGACGTGCTCACAAATGGTACTCGTTGTATAATTTTGGAGCAGAGTGCACCTCAGCGGTAAGCCCAGTACCCTGATTTGGACGTTACACAGGAGGAGATGCAGACCCACGGCCATGAAGGCCTTTCCTGCCAGTGTTGGAGCCAGAACAGACTCGGGCCACCTGACTTCTGGTTTGCTCTGGATTTCAGCTTATCACCCACGTTGGCAGAGAAAGGTTGGGAAAGATCTGACAGGAAGGCCTCTGGTGACCGGAGTAAACTCAGAGGAGACAGAACAGTCCTTCCTGGAACTCCCCACAGGCGGGAACCCTAGCTTCCCAGCAGCGCACGCACACACGTGCAAACCGTGTATGCACGCACACATCTCTCTCTTCTTGACTCCTTTCTGTCTGGTTATATAACCTTTCCTCATTTTCCTTTTGTGCTGCTGTCATCCTTTATTTATTTCAGCTTTTAATTTAAAATTTTGATTTTGAAATAACTCCAAACAAGGTAATGTTACAATAATAGTTACAAAAAAAACCCCTCTTATAACCCTTTATCCAGATTCACCAATTTTTAAACACTTTTCACATCCGTATTACAATTCCCTTCTCTCTATACACATTTATATCTGCATGCCCCGCCACACATTGTCTTATTCTGAATCACTAGAAATGATTAAGTAGTCCCGAGAACAAGAATCTTCTCTTACGTAAGCAGTATCAAATAATCAAACCCAAGAAATTTAATTCTGTTACAATGCCTGAGCTACAATCATATTCCAATTTTGTCAAGTGGCCCAGTGACGTCTTTTGTGGCATTCTCATAGTCAGTATATAGGACCCGGTCCAGGGCCATCTATTGCATTTAGTCTCTTCGAATCTTGGGCAGTTCTTCAGCCCTTCCTTTGTCTTTTATTATGTTGACATTTTGAAAAGTTGAGGCCAACTATTTTATGTAGTCTCAATTTGGGTTGTTCTGACATAGCCCATGATTGGCCTGAGATTATACATTTTTGGCAGGAATAGAAACAAATATTGGGACCATCTCGGAGTATCACCTCCCAAGTCCCCTGATGTCTGTTTGTCCCTAATTGGTGATGTTAATTTTAATGACTTAAGGGGATATATTGTTTCTCCAATATATAGCTGCCATTTCTTCTTTTTAGTTAGTACTTCATGAGGAGATACTTTGCGATAAATTTAAATACCCTGCTTTTCATCAAACTCTTCATGCTCCCAGATTTAGCATCCATTGAATACTCTGCCCTGAATCAGTTCTTAGTATGATAGTCTAAATCCACTATTCCTTTCACGTTTATTAGCATTATCAGTATGGATTCGTGAACGCTTAATTTTATTCAGTGCATTTAATCCATTACTTTTCTTATTATATTATGCATCTGTGAGTATGCATTTATTTATTTAGGTGTTCAAATTGTGCCAGGCATGTATGTGTATATATATGTTAGAAATGCACTAGAAACCATGAGTTTATACCTGCAGTTCACATCCTACTCCACAGGACTCTTCCTTGCTTTCTCCATTCTATATATGCATCTCTCTTCATGCTCAATCCTACAAAACACATACAGTAGTCCCTCCCTATCCATGGTGGATACATTCCAAGACATCCAGTGGTTACCTGAAACTGTGGATAGTACCAAACCCTATATATACTATGTTTTTTCCAAAACATTCGTATCTATGATAAAGTTTAATTTATAAATTAGGCACAGTGAGAGATGAACAACAATAACTAATAATAAAATAGAGCAATTATAACAACATACCAGAGTAAAAGTAACGTGAATGTGGCTTCTCTCAAAATATCTTGTCGTGTGCACCATGCTCACCCTTCTACTCCGTGTGATGATGTCAGATGATACAATGCCTACGTGAGGAGATGAAGTCGTGTGAAATTTTCCATGTAATATTTTTGGACTGCAGTTGAAAACTGCGGAAAGTGAAGCCAGGGACTACTGTAAATATTGTCACATTTGCTATACCCGTTCCAATATGAAAAACAAACCTGGAAAGAAGGCTTCTTGTTTATGGTATGAGGGATGGGTCTAATTTTATACTTTTTTTTCTTAAAAAAAAGGCTATCCAATTGTCTCAATACCATTTATTTAAAAGTCCTTCTTGATTCAATATCAAATTTCCATTTGTACTTGAATCTATTTCCAGACATTCTAACCTATTTCACCAGTCTGCCTATTAATGTGCCAGTACCACAGATTTGATTAGAGAATCTGTGTTATATGCTTGTTCAGGTTAGTCCTCTATTCCCCCTCCCCCACCCTTCATATCTCTTCCTCTTCAGTCTTTTTCTTGATATTCTTTTTTTGTTTTATCTTAGCTGAGCCATCTTGCTGCCTGTTGGCAGCTCAGCGGCAGCTCAGCTCAGTCCGGGAATCAAACCAGTGACCCTGTTGCTCAGAGCTCTCACACTTGAGTGAGCTCTTAACCAACTGAGCCACTCGGCTGGCCCTTCCTTGATATCCTTGCATGTTTATTTTTCTATATGAGCTTTGGTATCATTTTGTCTATCTCCAGAAAAAAATTATTATTTTTATTGCAATACCACTAAATTGTCCAATTAACTTAGGGAAATGACTAGATGATTTTGAGGCATCTTACTCAAGAAGAAATATCCATTTGTTCGAGTCTAATTTTGCATCTTTAATGCATATTTTATAATTTTATAAAAATAGATTCTGCACATTTCTTATTTATTTCTAAGTGTTGTATCTTTTTCGGCCGCTATTGGGTTTTTGTATGTTAATTGTATATCCTGATATGCTGAATTCTTTCATCGTTTGAGTTTGTTTTATCATTGGTTTGCCAGGGCTATACAGGTGTATTACATGTCATCTGCAAGTAGAGATAGTTTTACTTCATTCTTTCTGATTCTATGCCTCTGCTTTCTCTTTTCTAATTGCATTGTCTGATATCTCCAGGACAGTGTAAAATGGTGACAGATATAATGAGCAGCCTCGTCTTGTTCTCAACCTCAGAGTTTTCTTAGTAAGATAATGGCTTTAGGATTAAAATATATATATATGAAAGGTATAAATAGTATATTTTAAAGAAGTATCCTTCAGTTCTTATTATTCAAGATATATGCCTATCCATCCATCTATTTATCTATCATCTATCTATCTATCTATCTATCTATCATCATCATCTAATCTATCTATATCTGTCTGTCCATCCATCTGGTTCTTTATCTCATTTAATGCTTTTTGCCCTTAACCAGGAGAGTAAGGCCTCTTCCTCCTGCAATATTGTTCTAGCGCCCTCTTTTGACAAAGTTTAGCATCATGCCCCGCTGACAAAGCAAAAAATAATTAAGAGGTCCAGATCATTTTTGCAGAGCAGCAGTGAAGGGAGGTTTTGGAGTTGAGAAGCAATACATTTATATATTTTTCTGCTTTAAGCAGTTAATTGTATTTTGAAGCTATTTTTTTAAATATTTTATATTTATCCACATATTTACCCTTTCCAGTGCTCTTCGTTCTTTCGTGGAGGTCCACGTTTCCCTCTAGAATCATCTTGTTTCTGCCTAAAAATTTCTTTAGTGAAGATGATAAACTTTCTCAGCTCTTGTTTGTCTGAACAGAAATCTTTATCTCGCCTTAATTTTTGAAGATTTGTTTTTGCTTTTTGAAAGATATTGCGACATTTCCCCTCTAGCGCTTTAAAGATGTCTTTCTGTTGTGCTTTTGACTTATTTGATTTCCTTTTTGTAAGTTTTTATTTAGAAATAATTTCAAACACGCAAAATTTTCCAAAAATAATAGTGTTTTCACATACCCTTCACCCAGCTTCCATATATTACATGACCATAGTACAATGATCAAAACCAGAAAATTACATTGGTACTCTATTATATGGATATTATTCAAATTGTATCAGTTGTCCCACCTTTCTCCCTCAACACACTGTCATCAGTCACAGTGACAGTTATTTATTGCAGAGGAGAACCTGGAGAAGAGTGGGGGAACACTCCCACTCTCCAGATCATTTCTGTGGGTCCCTGGTCGAAAGTCAGATGGCGCTATGGCTCCTGGGAGGGTGGCTCCTTAGGTCGGATTCACAACCTTGACCAGGAAAAGGCTGCTCCACGTGAAGTTGTCGAAGATCATGACAATGAAGGGCCGGTTGAACTGGATGGTGAGAGGCTCAGACGTCACGTTTCGGGGGACTGCAGTCGGGGCGGCTGTCATCACACCCTTCTCATCAAGCTGCAGCATGGCCTCATGGACCACCTGTTGGGATGGACCGAAGGTGGTGGTCGGTCGAGCACCTGCTGTGTGTTGGGCGCTCTCCACGCCTGGTTGCGTGGGCTTCTCTCACCCTGCGTTTTATGGATGGTGAGTCTGAGGCTCAAAGGTCACTTGCTGGCTCCTTATCCAAGTGGCAGCCCCAGGACTGGAGCTGTGGTCTGTCCACCTGCATAACCTGGGCTGCACCTAGACTTCCTCCTTAGAAAGCGTGTAGATAGAACCCACCACATGGAGGCTAAGGGTGTCGTGGTTCAACCTGGACTTAGTAGAGGGCACCCTCGCTCCCATGGCACTCCACTAGGTAAACACTAGGGTTCAATTTAGTAAGCTCATGCTTACTCTGTATGGAAAAGGGTAACCTCTGACTGCTGAAATACCCCTTGTGATGGAAACTAGAAGGAATTCCGAAACTGGCAAAATGCTTGAGTAGCTTGTATCAAAAGCCTCCAACAGATCAGAACTGGCTAATGAAACCACCACGCCCTGTGGTTAGTAACCACTCTCACTGGCTGCCCAGCAAGGTGTTGGAGGCTCTGAGCGGCTCTGCATATGACACATGTGGCCAGGAAGAAGCTGAGCTGGGGGAGCAACTCCTGCAGTGTGTGTCTTGGGAAGTGAGGCTTTGAGTGGAACAGACCCTAGGTCAAATGTCAGGCTGCTGTTGACTGACACTGTGGCCATGGCGAGTTGTTTGCCCTCCCTGAGCCAGTTGGGATAATACCCACCATATGAGGAGGTAGGTGTTTGACTCAGTCCTTCACACACCATGCATTTTATTGAGCACATACTGTGTGCCAGACACCACCGTAGTCAAACTCTGTGTGCTTGAGTGAGGGGGCTGCTGCCACTACAAGTTTCCCCTGTTTCTTGTCTTGTTTTGTCACCACAGGACTGTAAGGCCCTGTGAGGTCAGGGCCACGTTGAAGTAATGGAGGCATTGCCCAGTGTGTACCACAGTTTGGGGGCACACAGTAGATGTTCAATAAATATTTTCTGAATGAATGGATGGATGAATAACAGACCATAAAACTGAAAGATGAAGATAATGAATGTCATTGGGTAGAAGTTTCAGAGTGATCTCATTTAGACAGTTCCCATTTTCCAGGTTCCTTTTTGCTGGGGGTCTCTCACAGGCCTGCTATGACGACTTCATTTTGCACAGTGCCTCCTCCGTGTGGCCTGGCAGAATGGGTAGCTGCCCAGGCTATGACCCTCCTTGGTCACTGGCTTCCTGTGTGACCTTGAGGACAGCACATTTTCTTGCTGAGCCTCCGCTGAGCCCATTGTAAAACTAGGGGCTTTGCTGAGACCTGAGGCTCTCAGCCTGGGGCCTACTCATGAGTGGGTTCCATGTTATTATTATTTATATTATGAATTTTTTGGGGAAAAAAAGATAGGGCCTAGAGACACTTACCTTCGATACTTTTAGCTGGACCCCTTGGGCGATGCCTGAGAAATTTGCCTGGTTGTAGAGCAAGTCTGCAATGCTCATGTCCTCCAGGAGGCTCCCAATGTCATAGGCTCTGGAGATGGAGACCTTCGGGATGTACAAGTCCACGTGGCTGCTCGGGGGTAAGCAGACATGATTACACCTTCCCACCAGCCAGCCAGACTCCATTTCCTCTGCGATCCCTACAGATCCTGCTTCCCGGCTAGACATGCATTTTGGGGACGGGGAAGGGACAAGGACAGGGCAGGATCTGCCCCTCCCTTCACCACACAGGCAGCTTCCCCTTTGGATCTATGAATGGCAAAATCTTTTCTTCTCAGCTCTTTTTTTTTTTTTTGTGCACTGTTCCCGGAAGTACTGCAATACTGGATCGATGTGCGGAGTGGACAGAGCAAGCTCCTATTCCATCTCCCAACTCCGAAAGTCCACTTAATATATTGTCCTCGGATAGAGGACGTATCAAATAATAAACTGATAAGAACAGATACTACACGTGATCTTAGCCAAAAGGCCGAGAAGCGATTCTTCTCAGCTCTTTTTTTTTGAGCTGATTCCACCTGTGATACCGCTGGACCACTGGAGAGTGAAGAAAAGGGTCTCTAAAGAAGCCTTGTGGCCCCCAAGTACCCCCGCAGATACGGAGGAGTGGAAGGAGCACCCGCTGGGAGCAAGGGTCTCGGCCACCGTGGTGCTACTGATGCTGAGTGACATGGCCAAGGCCCGCCCCTCCCCCTGCGTGTCCTCATCTCCACAGCAGGACAGTGCAGAGCAACTGTGGGGAACTGTCAGGACCCTTCTGTGATAAAGCTCTCAGATTGATTCTGCAAGAATTTGATGACTCGGCCTGCAATTCCCACTGGATAAAGCAGGTGGGGTTTCTAGAAAGGTAAGTGGAATCTTGCTGGGGGTGGGGCATGCACCTGGACTTTTTAATATAACAAGACATTAGTTTCATTTAAAAATCTCTTCTTTTTCTAGAGGGAGAGAAGATGGGGGGCAGCCCTGGAGACTGGCAAGCTGCCAAGATGAACTTTAAGACGTATTTATTGTTCAAGGGGAACTGAGGAGGAATTGAAGGTGGGTGGATGTGCAAATTCTCCTCTCGATGGGGAAATAGCAACAGAAAGTAAGGGACACGGACCTCCACCAAGCACCTGGGGGACCAGCTTTACTTTCTGGATCTCATCTGGTCTGCACACACTCACACAACCCTCTCAAGTCAGAGTCAACGTCTTCAATGTCCAGGTTGAGAGACTGATACCCAGGAGAGGCCGAGGAATCCCCCCCAGTCACACCACAGGAATGCAGAGAGATGTGAAGATACCAGGACTAGTTGCCTCAAAGCCTCATCACTTCACCCTTGGAGAGCAGCCCACACAACACAGCACAGAAGGTTTGGCCATAGAACCAGGGGACAGAGAGAGGGTAAACGCTCTGTGAGTGGGGCAGAGGCCTCCCGTGGCATGTGGGGTATAAACGGGACCTGAAGGACGCAGATTTGGGTGCACTGGACAACATAGTGGGGTGAGGCTGGGCGGGGGGAGAAGGGAGAAGGGGTGACACAACATGGAGGTGAGGAACCATGGGGTCTGCCTTCTGGCACTTGGTGGAGACCATTTGCATTGAGTAGAGGATTCATGCTCAATCACATATGAGGGCTAATGGTGCAAAATTTCACTTTGGATGTTTATTTTAAAAACATATTTAGAAGGAAATGGCACATGTTATTCATTAATGGTAGGCCAAAGCAGTTTAGTGAAGAGATTATTTTTGGTGTAAAGAGAAAGTTATTCGCCTCATTTGCAACACACTAGGGTCCAGAATTTGTTAGAATCATGGTGCATTATTAGCACCTGCTGGCACTGTGCCTGAAGGAGAGGTTCCCGCTGTGCGGTGGAGGTGACATGGGGATGGGACACTTGAAATGGTGAAGAGCTGGCAAATGGACCCCTACCCTTCCCCAAACGCAGGCTCACATGTACCCCACCCTCTAGCCCCCACTCACACACACTCAAGGGCTGGTAAGTTTGTTCCAGGACTCTAAGGAGGCCTTCTGTGTCCCCCACATAGCCATAGGGGATCCCTCTGAATCACAAGGCTCATCACACCCCTCTTCCATGCAGGAGTGGGGTCAAACTCCCAGGCACCACCACGTCCACTCACAGAGCTGGATGAACCTCCCTAAAAGCACCGGCACCGAGCAGTGGAGGGTATCATTCAAAGTAAAAATAACTCAAAACCATAGAGCTCAAAACCTACATACATGATAAAGTAGAAGAGCTTCTTTCTAGATTTTCTGCTTGCAAATTCTTAGATTGCTAACTTCATTCGGGCAGGATTTTTCTCATTCCTTGCTGCTGCAATGAGAACTTTGAGGCGAGTCTGGGGGGAAAAAGGACACCCAGGTAGACCCCTGTCCCACCCGCCCCACTCTCTGGGCACAGATCCTGTGCAGAAGTCAATAGTCAGCAGGAGGGCTTACCCACTGGTCAGGGAGTCAGACCACCTCTGAATGGTGTTCCGGTTCAGGGCATTGATGACCGTGTCCACCTTCCCCTTGTCCGGAAGGATGAAGAAGACGGTCCCATTGCCCATGTAGTCCAGCTGCACCAGCTGGCAGGGGAGCACCTGGTCGTTGAGGTGCTTGATCTCACTGGACTGAAACATCATGGGCACCTTCACGAGGGTCGTCTCGTTCACATAGAAGTTGTCCTCCCTGGTGCTTTCCTGGTCGAAGGGATGTGCCCATGTGCCTGGGGAGAGGAGGGTGAGGGAGGGCAGGAGACAGGTCTCTGAAAGCAGGAGCTGGGGTGGCAGCCAAGCGCCAGGGGTAACTGCTAAGCAAGTTAAACAGCAGCCTCCCTCATCCGGGAAGGTCCCCACCAGTTTCCTGGTAACGTGAAATTCCCAGAGTTTTAAAGCCTGGTCCATCCTCCACTTCTTGGCGTGGATTTCAGATTAGCTCTGTTTCTGAGATTTGCCTCTAAAAATGGAAGGAGGGCATGGATGAGAGAATGCTGACCTTAGGATCTGGGGTAGGATTCAGTAAACCAGACTGCCTCGTCAACCTGCCCTGGGGTGTATCCTGGATTGGAGGGCTCAGGAAGTGGTGCTGAATTCCAGGTCAGGGTCAGGGCAGGTTTGGAGGAATGGACCATTCATTCCATTCTCCACCCCTTGATGTCCTAGCCACAGAAGCCCAGCAGGCAGCCTGACTGTCCAGTTGATTGTATCCATTCTCCTGCGGGAGACTCCTGACCTCCCTCATGGCCCTGAGAGCTACACCACATTTCCTGGGAGCAGAGTCAGGGTGAGAAGATTCCTTCAAGGTCACAGGCTCCCACCCCCAGCTGGACTCAAATCCCCTCCACTACGTCCACAGTATCATCACACAGCCTGTTTGCTTGTCTGGTGATGGGCAACTTACTCCCTTCACAGATGGGACTTTCCACTACTGGTCAACTCTGATCGAAAGAAAATTGCTCCTGAGAGCAAAGCCTGCCTGATTGTAATGCTTGGCTGCTGAACCTCTTTGGCCCTTCTGAGCTTATTCCAAACAACTGAGTCGTCTCACAGGTGACAGACTTTTGGATATTTAAAGACATGGGCTGAATCTGAGCAGGTTAAGTCTCTAGATCAGTGGTTCTCAAACTGTGGGTCATTCGACCCCCAAACTTTGGGGGTCGAATGACCCTTTCACAGGGGTCGCCTAAGATCATCGGAAAACAAAAAGATATTTACATTACGATTCATAACAGTAGCAAAATTACAGTTATAGAGTAGCAATGAAAATAATTTTATGGTTGGGGGTCACCACAACATGAGGAACTGTATTAAGGGTTCACGGCATTAGGAAGGTTGAGAACCGCTGCTCTAGATTAAGTCTCCTGGGGTCTGGAGATGACTGAGGACGCTGAGTCCAGGGGATCCCAGGTGTCCTGGCTGCCCTCGACCCCAAGTCCAAAAGCCCTTGTGAGGTTACTGTTTCCCAACTGAGGCTTCCTGAAGGTGGCCACAGCATAGCTTCAGGGAGAACCTTCTCCATCCCACCACCTGTGGGATCTATGGATTATGAGGCCAAAACTCTTGGTTCTGAGCCGACTTCAACGCCCCCTATAAAGGCCACTAGTGGACACAACAGGGAGAGGCTGGAGGATTTAGGGAAAAGGGCTGTGGGTGCAGAGCCTGGAGACCCGGGGGCTGTTCCTGCTCCATCCCTAGAGACCAAGTGTGAACTCCCCGTCTGTCTGTCTCACAGCAGGTGAGATAATTTGATGATTCTTGAACCATCCTCCAAAGGAACTGACGGGGCTGGTGTTCTGTGGCTAATTTGTGCAATTCACAGGAAAAAAAAATGTGGGTTAAATGCTTTTCAGTGTCAGGTTTTCATCCTTAAGTTTGCTGTTTTTGAGGAAGGGGAACAGCCAAGTTGTCCTTCAATCTTAGTTGTGGAGGGCATAGCTAGCTCAGCTCCAAGTCCAGTCGCCAGTTGCCATCCAGCTGCCCGTCGGCAGCTTGCTGCTGCTCAGCTCAAGGTGCTGTGTTCAATCTTAGTTGCAGGTGGGCATAGCCACCATCCCATGCAGGAGTCAAACCAGCAACCTTGTTGTTAGGAGCACGTACTCTCAGCAGCTGAGCCATCCTGCCACCTGTTGGCAGCTCAGCTCAGGTGCAGCTCACTGGCCCATGTGGGAATCGAACCAGTGACCCTGTTGCTCAGAGCTCGCGCTCTTAACCAACTGAGCTACTTGGCCAGCCTGCTGTTTGCTTTTTACTGAGTATTCCTTTTCTAGAAACAAGAGGAACATATCCAGAATGGGGTCTAACCTCTACTTTAAGGAATTTCTTCTTCAAAATTCTTGGGCCAGGAGAACTCATGGTAAAGAAACTTAAGAACTAATGGGGTGGGGGAATTAGAGAGAACAGGCTTAGGAGGGCCCTCCCTGTACTGCGGCTTGCTGTGCTTTTCTCCCAAGGTTGTGTTGCTCAAACCTCTATGCAGCTACTATTAAGCTCTGGCCACATGCCAAGCACTATGCAAAGGCACTGGGGCCACCAAAGAGATGAGGCAGCCATGCACAAGAGTGCAAGTCCACTGGGAGAGATGGCCTGTGGAATTTGGGGGAACACCCAGAAACATTTCTGGGCAAACATTCCCAGACTCCTTGGTCCTCCCACTGTCGGTTTTAAAGAATGCTGCCTTTTGTACGGAAACACAGAAGACCTCAATTAGCCAAATCAATCTTGAAAAAGAAGAACAAAACTGGAGGCATAACTCTTCCTAATTTCAAACTATATTATACAGCTATAATAACCAAAACAGTATGGTACTGGCATGAAAACAGACACATAGACCAATGGAGTCCTGACTGAAAGATCAGAAATAAACCCTTGCACATATGGTCAGCTAATATTTGACAAGGGAGCCGAGAATACTCAGTGAGGAAAAGGCAGTCTCTTCAATAAATGGTGTTGGGAAAACTAGATATTCCCATGCGAAAAAGAAAAAAGAAATTGGTCACCTATTTACAGCACTCATGAGAATTCATTCAAACTGGATTAAAGGCTTAAAAATAAGACACAGACGATAGTTTAGTGGTAACCAGAGGGTAAGGGGAGAGAGAGGTGGTAGATGAGGGTAAAGGGGGTCAAATATATGGTGATGGAAGGAGAACTGACTCTGGGTGGCGAGCACACAATGCGATAGATAGATGATGTATCACAGAATTGTACAACTGAAACCTATGTAACTATACTAACCATTGGTCACCCCAATAAACTTTAATTAAAAAAGAAAAGACCTGAAACCATAAAACTCCTAGAAGAAAACATAAGAAAAAGGACACTCCTTGACATTGGTCTTTGTGATGATTCTTTAGATACGACACCAAAGGCACAAGCAACAAAAGGAAAAGTAAAGAAGCTGGACCATATCCAACTAAAAAGCAAAAGTTATGATCAACAAAACGAAAAGGCAACCTACGGAAAGGAAGAAAATATTTGCAAACCATATATTGGATAAGGGGTTAATACCCAAAATATATAAGGAATTCATATTGCTCAATAGCAAAAAAACAAATAATCCAATTTAAAAAATGGGCAAAGGACTCGTGTAGGTATTGTTTCATAGAAGATATTCAAGTGTCCAATAGGTACATGAAAACGTGCTCGACGTCACTAATCATCAGGGAAATGTAAACCAAAGCTACAATGAGCTATCACCTCACACCTGTTAGAACGGCTACCATCAAAAAGGCAAGAAAAAACAAGAGTTGGTGAGGAGGTGGGGAAAAGGGGACTCTTGAGCACTGTTGGTGGGAATGTAAATTGGTGCAGCCACTATGGAAAACAGTATGGAAGGTCTTCAAAAAATTGAAAATAGAAGTATCATATGATACAGTAACTACACTGCTGGGTAGACACCCAAAGATGATGGAATCACTTTCTCAAAGAGACATCTGCACTCCCATGTTCATCGCAGCATTATTCACAGTAGCCAAGACATGGAAACAACCTACGGTATGTGTCCAACAACAGATGAATGGATAAAGAAAATTATGTATACATAATTCAGCCATTAAAGGGACACCTGGCCATTTGTGACCACATGGATGAAACTTGAGGGCACGATGCTAAGTGAAATAAGTCAGACAAAGACAAATACTGTATAACCTCACTTATATGTGGAATTTAAAAGTATAGAACTCATAGACACAGAGAGCGGAATGATGGCTGTCAGGGCAGAGGGTTGGGAGAAATAGGTGAAGGAGGTCAAAAGGTACAAACTTCCAGGTATAAGATAAGTAACTTCTGACAATGTAATGCACAGTATGGTGACTATAGTTAACACTATACACTTGAAAGTTGCTAAGAGAGCAGGTCTTAAAAATTCTTATCACACACACTCAGAGGTAACTATGTGAGGTGGTAGATGTGTTAACATACCTTATTTTGGTCATCATTTCACAATACGTACATATATCAAATCACCATATTGTGTACCTTAAACTTACACAATGATATAAGTCAACTGTATCTGAATAAAGCTGGGGATAAAAAGAAGGCTGCCTTTGATTAGTCTCTCACCCTCCCCGCCCTCCAAGGAGGGAGGCCTCTGCCAGGTGGGTTCCCAGACCTGTGCTGGCGAATGGGCAGAGAAAGGCCCAGAGGCAGGCGGAGGAGGGCTTCCCAAGATTCTAAGTCCATCAGGTAATAAAGAGCTGGGTGAGAGAAGTGGGGGACAGTTTGCTGACAGGAGGCCCTGAGTGAAAACTGGGGAGGAAAAAAAAGAGGGGGCTCATGAGGAGTCTTTGCTGGGGATTAGGTTTGTGTGATCTTTCATATTGTTGTTAAACACATGTTAAATATTGTAATTGCTTGTTTTTCTGTTTCATCTATACTTCTTTGACTATGACTGCTCAACCAAAACTGAACCACGTGGGTTCAGGGTTACAAGTTCTGATGAGATGATTGTTAACATGAGGTGTGGGAAGACTACAGAGGGTGTGTATGAGAGAGAAGCAGGGATTTCCCTGAGAGAAATCGGGGGAAGCTTCACAGAGGAGGCGGCTTTGGAGCCAAGATTTGAAAGGTGGGAAGAAATTTTAGGCAGTCAGGCAAGTTGAGGGAGGGCTCAGGGAACCTAAAGGGCATGGGCTTTGTGGCAGGAGGAATGGCCCCTGAAAGACGTCCATGTCCTGCGAATACGCTATGTTGTATAGCAAGAGGAAATTAGGTTGCTCTTCAACTAACCTTGAGATGAGATTATTCTGGGTTACCCAGGTGGGCCCAATGTAATCACAAGGGTCCTTAAAAGTGGGAGAGGAAGGCAGGAGGGTCAGAGTTAGAAAGGAGATGCGATGACTGAGGCAGATGGTGTAGCGATGCATTACTGGCTTTGAAGAGGGAAGGGGGCCATGAACCCAGGAATGCGGGCGGCTTCTAGACACTGGTGAAGGCAAGGAACGAATTCTTCCTTACAGCCTTACACCTCCAGAAGGAGCAGGCCTTGCTAACCCAGTGTGCTGCATTTTGGACTTCTGACCTCTGGGATTGTAAGGTAATAAATTTGCATTGTTTTAAGCCACCAAATTTGTGGTAATTTGTTACAGCAGCAATAGGGAACTCATACAGCCTTCTCTGGGGCAGCCATGCTCAAGGACATGAAAGGAGCTCAGTGTAGTCAGACACTGTGTGTGTGTGTGTGTGTGTGTGTGTGTGTGTGTGTGTGTGTGTAGGGAAAAGGTGGACATGAGGCTGGAAAGGACAGAGAAGCAGGTGACTCTGAGCCAAGGTTTCTCAACCTTGGGACTGTAGCCATTTGGGGGGCTGTCCGGTGCATTGTAGGGTACTTAGCTGCATCCTTGGCTTTTACCCAACAGATGCCAGTAGCACACCCTGCGCCATCCCTGGTTGTGACAACCCAAAAGATCTAAGACATTGCTAAATGTCCCTGAGGGTGGATGGGGGTTGAGGACTAAAGAGTTTCGATTTATTCTCAAGGACAATATATCCCCAAATTGTCTGATCATTAAAATGATTAGGGGAGGGCACCTTGTTAAAAATACAAATTCTAGAACTTTCCTGAGGAGGTTTTGCTTCAGTAGCTCTGGTGTGGGATCTGGAATCTATCATTTTAACAAGTCTCCTGGGTCATTTTTATGAACACGCGCTTTGGAAAACCTTGTTCCAAACTGGTGAGGAGGGTCTAATGTTTGGCATGGCGGGGACCTGGTCAGAACTGGCTGTGAGTGCTTGGGAAACATGTATACAGTGGCTTAGGGGCAGCTTGAGAGTTCCTGAGGTCTGTCTGGTTCTAGGCTGTATTTCCAGCCCCTGGGCCCAATGCCTGACTCACAGCCGGGACTCAGCCAGTCTTTGTAGACCGTGAGGTGGCCAGGCTGTTCAGGGTGACATGTTTTGGCCTCAAACCAGCTGCAGGAGCCTGGACACATCACTCAACTATTCTGGTTGTCATTTTGATCTTTTATAAGATTATATAATTCCACTTTCCTAAGAAGATTATGGTGAAGATGGAGACTCAAAGATGTGCATGTGCTTTGTAAAATGAAAGCCTTCACCTAAGAGTGTGCCCTGGATAGTGATAGCTGTTACTGTTTGTGGAAATAGCAGATGGGGTCTTGTCAGAATAGGGTGGGTAGAGGTACCTTTGAAGAAGATGTAGTTGACCAGGATAAGCATGGCTGGGCTATCCAGCTCCGAGAACAAATCCACGATCTTCCCATGAGTCTTATTCTTGATATACTCATTGATTTGTCTGCTGGCTCTGGCCAAGTCCTGGAAATCTGTAGCCAAGGCATCCAACTCATAGTAACGCTTGGTGTCTGCTGAGAATGAGTCTTGAAGCTCCAAGCTCTGGTTGATGAACAAAACGTTGCCCATGGTCATTTCTAAGCTGGTGTCTGACTCCCTGAGGAGCTGGTGGAGGTTCCAGAAACTCTGGTGGACCCCGACCTCAGATGTCTCAGTGAGGTTGAAGCCCAAGCTTTGGAGAATCTGGGTCCGTGTGTCCCCACGGGCACCCAGGGACAGCATGGCCAAGGCCATGGAAATGCTGACAGGGGAGAGGAAGACGTTCTTGCCAGGAGCTGAGGCCACTAGGTGCTTATACAGGCCAAAGGCAAAGTCAACATTGTTTGGAGCCAGGTCCCGGTGATGGTTGCTCATGCACATGCACACGTCAGCAGTGGGGTCCTGAGCCTGGACAGTCCAGAGGCCACCGGTGGACAGCCAGAGAATGCAGGTGTACAGGGCGAGCAGCATTGTTCAGGATGGCTGGGCCCTGCAAAATTAGAAACACTCATTAGATGATGTGGGAGCTCTGAGGCAGCAGGGCATGGTGGGACAGTAGGCAGAAGACCCCACTGAAGACTCCATTAAAGCCCCACTTCCTTCCTCCACATTGGACTCTGGGCCTTAATTTCCTCACCTGAAAGCATGAATTATACTTGCCATGATTTACCAAGTACCTACCAGGTGCCCAATGCTGGCCTAGATGTTTTGCCTATATTTTCTCATCTAACCTCTACTAACAAACTAATAAAGTCAACAATTATTTGGATGTTAGGTAGGCACACACAGAGTCTCAGAAAGGTTAAATACCCACCCTACCAATAGAGTCAAAGTACTGAAAGAAAAACTGTCAACCAAGAATTCTACATCTGGCAATGCTGTGGCCCTTCAAAAATGAGGGAGAAACTAAGACATGCCCAGATAAACAAAAGCTGAGGGAGTTCATTACTTCTAGACCTTCCATTGCAAGAAATTCTACAGAGAGTCCTTCTGATTGAAATGAAAGGACACGAGGGTGTAAATAGAATCTATATAAAGAAATAAAGATCTCTGGTAAAGGTAAATACATGAGCAATTATAAAAATCAGTATTATTGTAATTTTGGTTTGTAGCTCCACTTTTTTATTTTCTATATGATTTAAAAAACTAATGCATTAAAATCAATGATTAATTTATGTTTTTGGATGCACAATGAATAAAGATGTGATTTGTGACTAACTGAAAGAATGTGGGGATGAAGATAATAGGAGCAGAGTTTTTGTATGCTATTAAAGTTAAGCTGGCATAAGTTCAAATAAGAGTGTTATAAAAAATGAGAGTGTTATCACTTTAGGTTGTTAAATGTAATTTCCCTGGTAACTATAAAGAAAATAGGAAGTGAGAATGAAACTAAAATATTTTGCTGCAAAAAAAATCAACAAAACATAAAATAAGACAGGAATACAGAAAATGAGGAGGAAAAACTATTGGGTTGTCAGAAAAGTCATGATGTATTTTTTTTTGTTTTTCGTTGCAAAAATGCATCATGACTTTTCCGACAACCCAATATAAGGCATATAGAAAATAAGTAAGAAATTGGCAAAAATATGTCCCTTCTTGTAAGTAGTTACTTTAAATATAAATGGATAAAATTATGCAATCAAAAGACATAGATTGGCAGAGTGGGTTAAAAAAAAGATTATCCAACTATTCGCTGACTGTAAGAGACTCTTTTTGGATCCAAAGTAAAAAGTATGAAAATGAAAGAATAGAAAAAATAATTTCATGTAAATAGTCACCAAAAGAGGGTGGCAGTAAGGTAGCAGAAGGAAGGAAACAATGAAGATTAGAGCACAGATAAATAAAATAGAGACTAGAAAAACTAGAGAAAATCAATGAAACTAAAATATGTCTAAGCAATATCTAGTTAATATAATAATAATTAATATAATATAGTAGTCTTCTAAAAGACTAACAAAAACGATAAACCTTTAGCTAGACTGAGTAAGAAAAAAAAGAAGTCTCAACTTGCTCAAATAAAAAATGAGAGTGAAGATATTACTTGTAGTTCTACAGAAATAAGAATTATGAGAATACTATGAAAAAATTACACACCAACAAATTGGGTGACTTAGATGAAATGGGAAAATTTCTAGAAGCATAAAACATACCAAGACTGAATCACAAAGAAATAGACCTAAAGGAGTTAGGAAATAGAATCAGTAATCGAAAACCTCCCAACAAAGAAAAATCCAGGACCACATGGCTTCACTGTTGCATTCTCCTAAACATTAAAAAAAAAATCACAAATTCTCAAACTCTTCAAAAATAACTGAAGAGGGCGGGAACACTTTCTAACTCATTCATTGCCCTGATACCAGAGCCAGACAAAGACACTATAAGAAAAGAAAACTACAGATGCTATTGCTGATGAACATTGATGCAAAAGTCCTCAACAAAATACTAGCAATTATAATTTAGCAGCATATTAAAAGGATGACACACCATGACCAAGTGGGATTTATTCCTGTAATACAAGGATGGTTCCATGTCAGTGTAATACATTCATTACATTAACAGAATGAAGGAAAAACCATATGATCATCTCAACTGATGCAGAAAAAGCATTTAGCATAATTCAGCATACCCTTTCCTGATAATAGTACTCAAGAAAGTATTGTAGGAATAGAAGGAAACGACCTCAACATAATAAAGGCCATATATGAAAAGCCCACAGCAGACATCATACTCAATGGTGAAAGATGGAAATCTTTTCATCTAAGGTTTGGAACAAGACAGGATGCCTGCTGTTGCCTCTTATTTAACGTAGTACTTGAAGTTCTAGTCACAGGAAAAAAAAAGGCATTCAAAATGGAAAGGAAAAAGTAAAATTACCTCTGTTTACAGGTGATTTTATATGCAGAAAACCCTAAAGATTTCACTCCCCCCCCATACACACAAACTGTTAGAATGAATAAACGAATTTAGCAAAGTAGCAGAATTAAAAGTCAACAAACACCCCAAAATCAGTTCTGTTTCCATATACTAACAATGAACAATCTGAAAAGGAAATTAAGAAAATGGCTTCATTTACAAAAGCACCGAAAAGAATAAAATACTTAGGAGTGGACTTAACCAAGGAAAGATTAACATACTGAAAACTAAAAACAAACAAACAAACAAACAAAAACATTGCTGGAAGAAATTAAAGAAGATATAAATAAGTGGAAAGACATCCTGTGTTCATGTACTGGAGGACTTAATATTATTAAGATGTTACTACTACCTAAAGACATCTATGGATTCAATGCAATCTTTATCAAAATCTCAATGATGTATTGGGCAGAAATAGAAAGAGCCATCCTAAAATTCATATAGAATCTCAAGGGACCCTGAATAACCAAAACAGTCTTGAGAAAGAAGAATAAAGTTGGAGGTCTCACGCTTCCTGATTTCCACATGTACAAAGCCACAATAATCAAATCAAGTGTGGTACTGACATAAATTAAATAGATTCCATTAAGAAATATTTGGTGAGAGCAACTGAAAAAGAATGCAGCCAAGGTCAGAATCCATAAGTGGATGTTCTGTCTGCAAGGCCAATGGTCCAAAGCCCTGTGCTTTATGGAGCTGCCTACATGCCAGTAAAGAAGGGGTGCTTATAGGAGACGCAGGTCTCCTCCTACTGCCCCACTTATGGGCCCAGCCGTTCTGGGAGGGGCCAGGAACTCACAGTGAAACCAGTGTCCCCAGGAGAATGTGATGCATTTAGAGTGTGGCCACCTCTGGTGTGAACATGCTCCGAAACCAGAACCTTCCCATGAGACCCGTGCAAACATCCCTCTGACCTCCCTAAATTCTCTTCCAACCCTCCCCAGGTGCCTTTCTCCATGGGGTGGAAAGACAATTCCTGCTGAAATTCCCACCTTTGCATTCTGCTGCTCTGCTTCTATAGCGACCCAATCACGCTGCCCTCTCTCTCCCCAGCTGCCTGTCTTTATAGATGATTCTGTCGTTTTCCTGGTTTTCATGGCAGACCAAGGTGGATTAGGATCTCGGCATTGCTAGTTATGAACTAGGTGACATGGCTGGACTATTTAAACCGTATGTCAGTTTCCTTAGTCTAAAATACATACTAATACCTACCCTGGGCCGTGCCCATTTGATCTTCTAATTTTCTGGTGTTTGCCTCCTCTCCTTCAGTCCCTGTACACAGCCCAAGCTTGGGGCTCATCATCTCTCCCACGATTAACAGTCACCCCCTACTTGGGCCCCTTGCCTTCTGCTTAGCTCCCTCCAATCCTTTCTCCCCTAAAATTCAAGCTGATTGGCGCTCTCCTGAAAACCTTTCAGTGCCTCCATTGCTCCCACGTGGGGTTGATCCTCACTAAGGTGGCCCACCCACAGTGTCCTCATGACCTCATCCCTGGTGACAGCCCTGACCCCAGCCTCAAATGTCACCCCTTGAAGTCTCAGCCACAGAACACTGGCTATCTCAGGGGCTTCCTCCCAGCACATCCCAGATTTTCATCCCCCTGCTGGGCTCAGGGCTGGCAAGGTCATTTCAGCTCCCCAATGTTTGCAGAGCTGGCACTGACCTGGGAGCTGGGCACAGAGGGGACCTGCCTACTCTTGCCCCGTGTGGCTCCACTCTGTAGGCCCATCCCCTCCCTGCTTTGCCTGGCACGCTGCCTCTTGTCCTTTGGTACTCTGGTCCCAGGTGTCCTCATCCAGGAAGCCCTTCCTCTGTGCTTCTCTCTGTCACGGCCCCTATCACATTGCAGTGCAATCTTGGCTTTAGCCCTGGTCACCTCCACACCTACCTTTGACCCTCTCTTGGGCAAGGACCCCATACACTGTGAAGCCTGGGGTGGGATGGGCTTGCCCCCAACACAAGTTCCTCCTGCTTCCCTTCTCTCCCTGCTCTCGATTTCCCACTCCACCCCCTCCTGTGTTCATCCTCCAAGATGGGTGAAAACGCTGCAATATGGTTGGGATGATCGTCAGCCCCGTTGTCAGTGTTTTCTTGTGTGGCCTCACTTAATGGGTCATCCTGGGCCTATGGTGCCGATGAGAAAACTGAGACCCAGGGAGTTAGAGCTGAAATCCCGAGCTGTGTGGCCTGACTTCACAGCCTGTGCCATGCCATTTTGCCTTTCGCTATAGAAAGCAAAATGACAAAGTAAAACGGCTCTCTGAAAAGTACCCAGCAATGTACAAATGTAGTGTTAATATTGTTGATGAGTTTCATTTCATGTATGTCCTCCTTGTTCCTCAATTCTGTGTTCTTTATTTTCACAAATGCACCTGTGGGCCAGGTACAGTCATGGGCCCTTTGCATGGAAACATGTGGTATAAATGCAGGCAGTTCCGCTGGATCTGCAGCACCCTTGCCCCAGGTCACCAAGCCAGGAGGTGTGTGCGACTCTGTAGAATGCGCAATCTGCTCTGTGCCAGTCGGGTGCCCTCTTGCTCCCACCCTGCGTCCCCAACAGGGTGCTGCCTTGCATTGATCCATCTGGTCTCTGGGGCTGTTACGCTGTTTGGCTGGGCTTTGGAGTCCCGGTGGTGTGATGGATGGGGACAGCTCTTAGCTGTGTCAACCCCTGCAAGGCAGGAGGAAATCAACCCCCACAGGGGCGACCCACAGACTCTGGGAACCCTTCCAGGGCTGCCTCCTATTCCTGCTGGCTGTTCTGATGTTCAATGCCCCATTTAAAAAAAAATCAAATAAACAAGTTGCAGCCATCGTGTTCTGCAGGCCTGGCCGGAGCTGGAGGATGGAATGTCCTCAGGTGTTACTCACGGTCTGCAGAGAGCTGAGGCTGCAACTGCTGGCTGGGTCCTGCTGTCCTGGGTCCTCGTGTGTGTACAGTAAGCCAGCGGAGCAGCAGCTGCTGCTAAATCTTGTTTGCCAGCTTCCCTGCTGGTTAATGGTTAGAGGGGGGCCAGTGGCTTTCATCATCGGTGGTCCCCTCCCCTCAGCCACTAGCCAATGGGAGGCTTTTCCAGGAAATCTGAGTAAACACAGCAATGCTCCAAATTAACTTTGGATTCAATTCCCTGAAGTTTTACTTTTAAATATAAAAATGTGGTTAGTGTTGCATCAATGTCTGTGGTTGCCCAGTGGCAGCTGGTACAGAAGCCACAGCACCCTTAATTAGCATGATGGCACTAACACCCTTGAAGCACCAGGTGCTAACCGCAGGCTAATGATGAGTCTGGCGTGGTCCTGCCTTTAAGGGGCTCTCATTCTGGTAAGAGAGACAAACGTGAAATCAAAGCAGCCACATGCTTCCCATGGGTTATCTCATTAAATCTCCACAACGACTCTATGAATGGATCCTGTTATCACTTTTCTTTAGATGGGGAAACTGAGGCACATGGAACTGAAGTGAGCCACCCTTGAGATTCAAATCCAAGACCATGCAACTCTAAAATCTGATGCCTTCCCTCTTCCCCACACTTTTATTCATCAGTTCTCTTTTTGATTGCAGTGACAGAGACCAAACTCAAACTGCTTTAAAGCAAAAAACAATATTGGGTCTCTTGAATGGGAGTTCTGAAGGGTGTGAGGGCTTCAGGCCTGAATAGATCCAGGGGTCCCAAGCTGGTCATCAGCTCTCTCTGTCTCTTTTTTGGAAAATTCTTTCTTAGCTGTATTTTCTTCTGCTTTCCTGTTTTAGTCTCTATGGTGGGGACAATGGTGGCCGCTGCAGCTCCAGGTTACTTGGTTCTAACTGGTTATTTGATATCAGAAGGAAACAGACTCACTTTTTCTTAGAATTCATTTCAGTCTGCCAGAGGACCTTGAACATGATTGTCCATCCTTGGACTGATTACAGGACGTAGAATAGGGCATTTGAAAATGCCCAACCAGGGTCCAATGCCCTCTGCTGGGATGGCAGTGCCATTTACTTCTCTCCAGGGGTGAGGGGAGCTGTTTCCATGAGGAAAAGAGGAAAGCCGGCCCACAGCTGGGGCTGGAGTTTTGAGGCAATTTCAGTTTTATTAATACTTATTGGTCTTTTCAAGTTTTTTTTATTTCTTAAGCCAATTTTTGAATTTTTATCTAGGAATTTATTATTATTAAATCTATCATATCAGTAATTATTTTTTAATTTTTTTATTCTATATTTTATTTACACATTTTCTCTCTTTTTTTCTCTTAATGAGTTTTGTTAAGGAGATCTGTCCAGCTAATTAATCTTTTCAAAAGACCAGCTTTTAGTTTTGTTGATCCTTATTGGTATTTTAAAATCTATATTGTGTTGATTTCTGCCTTTATTTTTATTTTTTTACCATCCTTTCAAATTTTCTGGATTTCCCTCTGTTCTTTTTCTACTTTCTTGAATTAAATGCTTAGCTTTCTTACTTTTTAACATTTTTGGTCTCTATATAAATGTATTTAGAGTTAAAACTTTTCATCTAAATCCTGAGTTAGCTATGTCCCACAAATTTTTGATATTCTCATCATCACTTTTTTTCTAAGTATGTCTTAATTGCTTTTATTGTTTTAATTGTTGCCCAAGGGTAATTTAGTAATAAATCACTTAGTTTGTTTAGAATTTTAGGCTACTCTTTTGTTATTAACTTTTACTTTTATTTCATTATGGTCAAAGAATATCATCTATGCAATACTGAACATTTGGAACTTATTGAGGCTTTTTTACAATTATATATGATAGGAGAGGACATGCTGTGAACCAAGGATGCCTGCCAGCAGTACTGGGCCTGGGGTAACTCTACAAAAACCCAGGACACTCCAAAGCCTGCTGCTACCTGCTGGCTTCTGTAAGGTTCAGCCACTGATAAAGCCTCATATTGTATGCAAGTTGGGTGAGGCAAGGTCTCAGGGAATCACTAGAGTGGGAAGAATTGTGGTCAACAGGTTAATGTACACTTTGATTTGGTCCCAGTGCTGAGACTGGAGCTACTCAGCAAAAGTCTCACATGACATAGAGGCCAGCTGCTGCCCACCTAGGTCCTATGGACTCCTGGTTTTCCAAGGAACAGTGCAATACAGGCGGGACTGGCTGCTCTTGGAGAAAGTGCCTCAGGTGTTGGCCGAGTTGGGTAGGGTGGGGTCTTAGTGAGTCAGCAGGGTGGAGCAGCAGAGCTCACCAAGCCAATCAGATTCAGATTTGGCCAGAGGGGAGAACGTTAGAATCACACGGGGTGGGCTCAACACAGGAAAGATGGCGCGCCTGCCAGCTGCATGGAAGGAGATCCCCACGCAGGGAAAATGACTGTCCTTCCAGTTTTCACCTGAAGCCACATACCTCAGTCTGCCCCAACCCCATTTGCCTCCGATGTCCCCAAAGTTACTGTCCCTCCGCTGGAGCCCAAGGTGAGTGCCTGCGAGTGAGTGAGTCTGCACACAGGCTGTTTAAGAGGACGTCTGGGTTTCCCACAGCCTTCCTACTGGAACGGTCAAAATCTCCACTGGTTTTCACAGCCAGATTTTGTGGGGGCTCCTCTTCCTAGAATCAGTACTCTGGGCTGGGGAGACTGGTGTGAGGCTGGGGTCCCTCGCTCTTCTGGGGGTAACCTCCATGGCTGAGATATCCCTCCCAGTTTTCAACCACCACACAGAGGTTTGGGGCCTGCTCCACGTCTCCGCCCCTCCTACCAGCCTTGACGTGGCTTCTTCTTTATATCCTTAGTTATAAAACTTTTGTTCAGCCAGACTTCAGATGGTTCTCCAGGTTAGTTGTTCTATAATTTAGTTGTAATTTTATTGTGTTCACGGAAACAAGCAGGCACAGTGTTTATCTACTCTGCCATCTTGGGTCTCTGCAGATTTTTTTTTTCAAAAAATCATTTTTGTGAATTTATTCCACCAGATGAACTTTAGAATCAATTTGCCAAATTGAAAAAATCCAGATAGACTTCAATTTGAATTATTAATTTGAAGGTGAATGTTTCCCTTTGCTCCTTCACATCTAGGCAGGTGAGAACTCCCTGGTTTTTCTAACCTTTGGGTGTCTCACCAGACACCCTCCTGTTTTTTCACTTAACCCTTTCCACAACTTTCTACATAGTCTCTTCATAAAAGAATCATCTTTTGAACCATTGAGGGGACTCTGAGTAATATTCCATTTAATCCTCACAGCCAACCCCTGTAAAAATTTGTGTCCCTAGGAGGTAAAGTGGTTTACCCGAGGTCAATAACTAGCTAGTCCTTGAGTCAGGATTTGAATCCAGGTATGATGCCTCCAAAAGCTTGATTTTATCCTTTGCTGGCTTCCTACTTCAGAAAAAGGTGACTCTCTACAATACAAACCACCTGCATGTGAGTCCTGCAGGTCCAGTGGTGCTTCTGTTTCTTCTTCTTACTGACCACTCCTCCCTTCACCCAACCCACAGCCATACAGAGATATGTCTCCTCAGGTGCTAACTGGGAGCCATGGGGACCAGACATGAGGCTAAGGGAAGGTAATTTTTACTTACAGGCCAGGTACTAGAAATCTGATGCACCTGCAGCACCCTCGAGGCTGATCCATGTGTGCAGCTATCCTGGGCTGAGGGGTAGAGAATCAGCAGCTGATTCTGGTGGTCAGAGATGCAGAAACACATTGGAAGGTCAGGTTGTACCCTCCTCAGGCAAATGTTCCAGCCTACGGCTCATACATCGTTTGGGTATATGGTGTGCAGTACTCACTGGTGCATGGGGAACTATAAAAACAGGAAGCGATGAACTGACCTGGCAATGGAAAGTGGCCTCACTGCACTATCAGAGAGGCTGAGGATGAAGGACAGATGTCACATTCTGTGGAGAAAGTGTTTTCCCATCCTCCCACCCACCATCCATCCTCCCATCCATCCATCCATTCATCCAATCATCCATCCTCCCATCCATCCATCCATTCATCCATCCATCCATCCATCCTCCCATCCATCCATCCACCATCCATCCATCCTCCCATCCATTCACTTCTGAAGCACTTATTATATGTTTAACCTTGGGTGGGCATTGAGGGGGGGATCTAGAGTAATCACATTGCTGAGACTGTGGATGCCAACTGTTTCCATACTCAAATACCTCAGGGCTAGGTCGTGGGGTATATGAAACTCTGGACCGAAGAAACCTTGAGTTGACTGAAAAAACCCTGAGTTGATATATTGAATAGACAGAACTCAACTAGAAATAACTAAGATTAAGTTTCCTCTACCAGACAGAGTAGGGGCTTGAACACTCAGTGGAAGCTTCTATAAGGGTGTGGACTAGAGCTGCATCTTGAAGGATGGGCAGGATATGGGCAGCCACGAAGAGGGAAGAAGGTATGCAGGCTAAGAAGCCATTTAGCAGTGCCCCAAGTAGACTCAGAGTCCCCTGTGGTCACACTATTCCTCCATTTCATTCATCTATCTTGGCTCCCTTTTGCATTTTTCCAGGGTCATAAGCAGTATCTTATTTGTCTGTGCAAAAACCCAAGGGCTGATAGATCAATATAGAAATATTCAATAGTACTAATAATGATAGTAAAACGTGAAAGAATAGCAGTCAATCTTGTTTATTTGTTGAGTGTCTTCTAAGTGATAGAATATGAACTATGTGTTAAAATGACCCTATGAGGAGGCACTAGTCCTATTTTGCAGATAAGACCAGGACAATATCAAGTAACTTGTTCAAAAGCAAATAGTTTGTGAAGATTAAGGCAGTTTTGGCACAAAAAGCTATGATACCCAGATCTGTATTCTATAACAGGTAACTTCTAGTGAATAGGAACATTCTGAGGTTGCTGCAGAGATAAAAGGAGAAGGGAAGATGGGGTAGAAGGTTTAGTCTTGAGTAGTAAAAAGAAAGCTAATACGTATGATGCTAGATTGAAGCTGATATCTATAAATACACACATACACACACACACAGGTATTTATTTCTTGGTTTAATAATTTGCTCTAGACTTTCTTTGGACATATTTTCTTGGGGT